CGCCGCGCTGCGCGTGTCCCCGCGCGCCCCACTGCACCCCGCTGCCGTGCTGGGGCGCTCGGGTGCCCCTGGTTGGAGCCTGGTCTCGGCTCAAGGCCTTAGCAGCCCTGGATTAATATGTAAAGTTTTCTAGGCCAGCGTTTGGTCCTTCCTGCTGCTGGTGCTTGCCACTAAAACACTTCACAAACATGCTCCGTGTGGAATTAGGCTGCACTAATCCGCCTTGCGGATGGTGGCATTCCACTCCTCCGTTAACTTATATACCTTAAAAATTAGGTAGGAAATGGCCAGAGACATTACTGTATCTGTAATGTGTAGGTACCATCCATGCCATTTGTTTGCTCTGTTGTTTTCCAGAACAATCAGTAGAGCTTTTATTTATTGTCACAGCGCCGGGCCTGATGGAATCCTCTGTGACACTCAGGTGCCAGTTGAGCTTTCTGTGGAGCTGGCCGTGGCTGTGGAGCTGGTCGTGGTTATGGAGCTGGCCGTGGTTTTGGAGCTGGCCCTGGTTGTGGAGCTCATCGTGGTTGTGGAGCCGGCTGTGGTTGTGGAGCTCATCGTGGTTGTGGAGCCGGCTGTGGTTGTGGAGCTCATCGTGGTTGTGGAGCTGGCCCTGGTTGTGGAGCTGGTCGTGGTTGTGGAGCTGGTCATGGTTGTGGAGCTGGTCATGGCTGTGGAGCTCGTCATGGTTGTGGAGCTGATCGTGGTTGTGGAGCTGGTCATGGTTGTGGAGCCGGCTGTGGTTGTGGAGCTGGCCATGGTTGTGGAGCGGCTGTGGTCGTGGTTGTGGAGCTGGCCGTGGTTGTGGAGCTGGCCGTGGTTGTGGAGCTGGTCGTGGTTGTGGAGCTGGTCATGGCTGTGGAGCTCGTCATGGTTGTGGAGCTGGTCATGGCTGTGGAGCCGGCTGTGGTTGTGGAGCTGGTCGTGGTTGTGGAGCTGGCCCTGGTTGTGAAGCTGGCCCTGGTTGTGGAGCTGGCCGTGGTTGTGGAGCTGGCCCTGGTTGTGGAGCTGGTCGTGGTTGTGGAGCTGGTTGTGGTTGTGGAGCTGGCCCTGGTTGTGGTTGTGGAGCTGACCGTGGTTGTGGAGCTGGCCCTGGTTGTGGAGCTGATCGTGGTTGTGGAGCTGACCGTGGTTGTGGAGCTGGTCGTGGTTGTGGAGCTGGCCCTGGTTGTGGAGCTGACCGTGGTTGTGGAGCTGGCCGTGGTTGTGGAGCTCGCGTCGCCTCCTGTTCGGGCTTTGTCTCTATCCCCTCAGCGTGCCTGCGTTTGCAGCACGGCCAGGAGCTCTAACATGGGAAGCTTCTGGGCTGGTACATTGTTTTGAAGTTGTACCTGAGCAGCAGATTCACCAAAATCCTGCTTTCTTCACAGATTACGTGTGGTCTAAACCGCTTGATGTCCCTGTAAACCACCGCTTTTCCACCTGTGACTCTCCTGATGCGAGATGAGCCGGGGCTGCCTTCCTGCTGCTTGTGCTGGATGTCGCGTGGAGAGGTGGTGAATGAGCGGCGGTGCCTTTGGTGACGGTAAGATGTGCGATTACATCTCAAGGCTGGCGGCTTTTCTTCCTCTCAGACAAAGAGCAGACACTGGGAGCTCTTTGCAGAGTGCACGTGGGCAGTTTTTCCCTCTCACAGCCAGTCGTGTTGTTGTAATGAGCCCCCTCACTGTAGGGCAGCCGATGTGGCTGCATTAGAACGAGGAATACAGGTGAGTGAGGCCGGTGCTTGCTTTAGTTTGGGACAGAGGATGTTCTGCTTCCTCATCTGTTGTGCCACATTGCAAGCAGTTTCCATATGGCAAAACCAGAAATGCTGCTTGGTCCCTCAAGGTGCAAAAGAAAACAAGACTGGGACTGATGTCCTGGGTCAGGATGCTAGAAGACATCGCAGCCCGCGTTGGTGTCTCAGGGTGTATTGTCAACTGAAAGCTCTTCCAGGTTAATAGTGCTTCCCTTTCTGGAGAGACTGCAGTGCTGTCAAAACGCGTCCTAGACCCAGCACGTCCCTGCCTTCTTTGCCTCCAACACTGTAACTGAGGGACAGCGTTGCTACCTGCCCCTGATTTCCACCCTCCAGTTCAAAGCCTGATACAACTTGTCCCCTGTGCTAAGCTGTTCTGTTCTTGTGCTAGACTAGCTAGGAGCTCCTGTGTTCCCTGGGCTGTGCAGCAGCTTGTTATGGTCTAAGAGCAAATTAATCTTGGGCAGGCTTCTCAGCTGCCTGTGACCAGGCTCAGAAATGGTCTCCTTTGCTTTTCAGAACCGTCCCTGTCACCTCCATGACATTTCTTTAGCTACGAGTTAGGACACAGAATAGTTAGGAACTGAACTAGGCTGGAATTAGGAGTTAGGAACTGAACGATGCTGCTTAAGGCATCGAGGGGATTTGTTCCACGTCCAGTCCTAGTTGGCATTGGAATCACAGTCTGGGAGTTGAAGAAGTAAAACCGAAACAAGTTACTAGCTGATGCAGAGATCACGTTTCACAAATACCGAATGGACTGGAAAAGTCTATGTGATGGTTGGTGTAAATGAGCAAAGTATTCCAAGTGGAAGTCAAAGGGAAATCAAATAGAGGGAAGCAGGTAGGTATGTGGTTACAGAAGAACAGCATGAGATATGATGCTATAGAAATAACTGGCCGGGCAATTACAGTATCGGCATGATTGGAGAGAACAGGTAGTTCTTGGCTGTGGTGATTTATTCTTTGTTTGCTTGTTTTTTTGAAGGTTCAAATGTGGGAATTGCCCTGGATGTGGTTGTTGCTGATGCTGTCCTGGGAAAATGCCTTGATGGGGAATTAACACCATTCAGTGATGGGCTGTGGGACAAGCAAAGTGCTTCCCGAGCCCCCTAAAGATGTGCAGCTGGATCTGGTTAAGAAAGTAGAGCCTTACACGGGCCACAATGACATATACAAGCATTTCCTCAAGGACGACTGCGGGGCTGTCATCAAAGCGGGCTCTCCCTCCCCTCCACGTCACGCTCACCCGTATCCTGGGAACCACCTTCCGACTCCCATGGAGCAGCCTGAGCTCCGCAAGAACAAGGTGGCCAAGTACCGTGCCAAATTTGACCCCAGAGTGACGGCCAAGTACGACATCAAGGCCCTGATTGGAAGAGGCAGCTTCAGCCGCGTTGTACGGGTGGAGCACCGGGCTACCAAGCAGCCCTACGCCATCAAGATGATCGAGACCAAATACCGGGAGGGGAGGGAGGTGTGCGAGTCGGAGCTGAGCGTGCTGCGGCGCGTCCGCCACACCAACATCATCCAGCTTATCGAGGTGTTTGAGACCCAGGATCGCGTGTACATGGTGATGGAGTTGGCCACCGGAGGGGAGCTCTTTGATCGCATCATTGCTAAAGGCTCCTTCACCGAAAGGGACGCCACGCGCGTGCTGCAGATGGTGCTGGATGGGGTCAAGTACTTGCATACACTGGGTATCACGCACCGGGACTTGAAACCAGAGAATCTGCTGTATTACCATCCCGGAACAGATTCCAAGATCATGATTACGGACTTTGGACTGGCAAGTGCTCGGAAGAAGGGGGACGACTGCCTCATGAAAACCACTTGCGGGACCCCGGAATACATAGCTCCCGAGATCCTGGTCAGGAAGCCCTACACGAACTCCGTGGACATGTGGGCTCTGGGGGTGATCTCCTACATCCTCCTCAGTGGCACGATGCCCTTTGAAGATGACAACCGCACCCGTTTATATCGACAGATCCTGAAGGGAAAATACAGTTACTCAGGGGAGGTGAGTGGGACGGCGGTTAAAGTGAGGGGACTTGAAACCAGAAGCCCTCCATGCTTCTGGTCGGGGTGATGACAAGAAGCCCACTGCCACGGGCAGGATGGCAGCATAAGCGTTAAAAGATTTTGGCCTCTAAAATCCTGCCCGGCGTTCTGTCGGCTTTACAAAACGTCTTTCAGGGCAGAATAATGAGATCCTTTTGTAAGAGCGTGTCTAAGGAGAGAAGAACTTCCTTTCTGTAGAACAGAACAGGAGGGCCTAACAGATCTTGGGCTGCTGGTGAGTTTTTCATTCTGGAAACCAGAACCGTGTTACCCTTTTGATGCTTGGCTGTTGAAACTCCTGCCAGAGTGAGTGTTTGAAATGCAGCATGCACTTGCCTAAGCTCATTTGAGTTACAAATTCAAGTGTAAAGAAAAAAAAAAACTTTTCTGAAAGATGTGTTTATGGCACTTGCTTTTTAGGTGAAAAAATATGGTCTGTGTTGTCTCTTGAACTTAGTTTGTGCCAAATTTGAGGAGGGAGTGAGGGTTCTCCTTGATAACTGGGAGAGAGAACGTATGGGGTTGGTTTTTAGGCCGCAGATGAGCGTCTCCACGGCTCCTGGAGTCCCATCCCTCCACAGGAGTGGACGTGTGGCTCTGTGCCCAGCCTCTGGTCGTGCCGAGAAATCGGGATCGGGAGGCAGCTCTTCCAGGGCTGCGGCCAGGTACAGGCGTGTCCTCAGGTTAGGAGGCACGCTTGGAGAAAGAGGGGCTCTCCAAGCTGAGCTCCTGCCTGTATCCCTCACTGGGACAAAGCCCGAATTAACATTTCATAGCTATTACCATGCTGAGGGAGGAAAATTTGGTTTCTTGAACATGGTGGCTTTGTGAGATGAAGCCCACTGTGAATGTGTTATCCTGACAGGAAGCGAGCTGTCCGAAAACCAGAACACATTCCTGATTATTTTGGTGTTTTTAACTGTAACAGTTAGGTTGGCATTTCAGCACTGGATGGGCAGAGTCTAACATGCTTGGTTTTAAAAACATATTAAGCTCATTTAGGATTGTGTTCAGGAAAAGGGCACTTTCTGCAGGATTTTCAAAGACATCAATGAGCCTTTTATCTTTTCAAGTTGTTGGGCCAGTTTGTGTTAGTAGTTGGAATTTCCAAATTGAAGGAATCTTGGCGTTCGCATCGGGGGCCATAAAGGATGGTCCGGATTTGACAACTCTGTGAAATCTGCTTTTGTTTTTTTTTCCTCCTTTGAATACTTTTCAGAGACTCTCCAGATACTACAAGTGCATAAGGCAGGGGTCATAAAAGCCAAATGTTGGCACTTTGTGAACAGCGTGTTACTTCCTTTAGACATAGCGATACTTTTTTTAATTATTATTTATTTATTCTATTCTATTCTATCAGCTGCTGCTTTGAACTCCAAGTTTTAGCTGATTTGGGGCTGTTTTTTTTTCTTATGTTAACATGCCATACTAGTATGGATTGTTAACCAGTTGCAGAGCTTCAGGAAAGTGATCGGGTTGCAATGCAGAAGCAGATTAATTATCAACAGCTTGTAAAATGTGTAGGGTCACACTGAAGTGTAGGTGACTAGTTACCCTATAACCAGCAAGGGTAGAGAAACCAGAAAGCCTGTAAGAAATGAGCCAATACAGTGGGATATTTTGTGTGTGTGTGTGAAAACCTCAGTTCATTCCAAAGCTTTTGGCCCAGTAGGACTCATTCAAGTGGCCTAGATTTTGGCCTCTGGATTTTAGAGTAGTCTAGATTGCTTGTCCAAGCTCAGGTTAGGTCCTTTTTAAGCTCACTCTACTGTTCGCCTCGACCATTCATTTTTCTCCTTTCTGTCCTTTGTTTTTGAATTTTTTTTTTTTGTTTGCCTTCAGTTTGAAAGTTACCCCATCATTTTTTTGAACTCCAAATCTCTGATATTAAGAATTCAACAGACGTTGGAAGCTGCAGGTGACATCTTCATTCTCCTGCTGCAACAGTTGGACTGACAAGTAGATCAACAGCCCCAGTTTTGCTGGAGTGGCATATTTTGCCATTCTAACTCTAGGTCACGCTTATCTTTCCCGTTTCTAACTGTAGGTTCCTTTCCCTCTGGCCAAAGGGATGAGTGTGGGAAGTTGCTGCCCCTCCAAATGGTTTTCTTGCCGTGTCTTAGCTGTGTTTCAAGTTCCTCCTCTTCCTCGCACGTTCCTTGCGTCGATCCCAGTGGTTCTTTGTCAGCCCCGTGCCTTGGTACGTGCCAGAAGGTTAGTGAGACAGGTTCAATTATGTGAATTTGCCTCTTCCCTTTGGGGGAGCCTGTTTTTGTCCGTAGCCTCCCTGACCCTCCGTGGCCTAGTTTATTTTGAAAAACACGTGGAAATAATGCTCCCTTCTTTCAGATTATATCGGGTTTTATCTGCCTCTGATCATTTCACTAGGAATTTTCTTGCGTGCGTTTTATTAGCCCCTTTTACTGGAGAAACTAGTGAGCTACATATGAGCTAGTGTTCATGTGTAACATATAAGTTGTGATGTTATGTGTTATACTTTAGTCTGCAAAAAAGGAAAAAAAAAAAGAACATAAAGATCCAGGTGTATTTAGAGGCCCAACGAGAATGTATTTCACACCTCTCATCTTTGCTGTTCCTCTCTCTCGTTCACTTGTTGTTTTTGAGATGGGGTGGCTGTTCACACTGTCCAATATATGTGAACATCTTGACCTGATGCAGTGGGCTGGAAGGTTCTCTCTTGTTCAGAGCTTCTTCCCTAGGGCTTTCTGATACTGTGTTTGCTCCTTTGGTACCTCCCAGCGTTTGGCTGCTGAGTGGTCTGGTGGGACTCCTAGGTATTTTCTTGAATGTAAATAATTAACTTTGTCTGCCTTGGTATCTGTGTAATTTGACTGATGCCATTCAGTCTCTCCAACCCTGTAGTGCATGAGCTTGTGTTTTAAATTTTGCTCATCGTTACTTCTTTTGTGTGGATATTTTGAATAAGTTAAATAGCGCAGTATCCAGGACAGATTTTCCCTTTTTGCAGAATGTGCTAATTCCAGCTTCCTAGAAGCACCCTTTAAGATACAGGACACTTGCCACTTAATAAATTATTGTGATAATAGTGAGCTATCGAGGTTTAAAACAGGAAAAAAACCCCAAAGTCCTATATTACATCTCAGAAGTGAGAAGCGCTGTGGTCATAAATGGACTGAAGTGGACCAGAATGTGTGGCCAACTACGAAGTGGGGGAGAAAACTCCTCTGTATTTTCCATAGGTCCTGGTGGGGTCTGCAGGACTCCTTGTTCTTCAGAAGAGCCAGCTTGAGGAAGAACATGGCTAAACATCAGCGTGATGCTGATCAAAATGCGTCATCACTGATCAAAAGCCATCTGATATTAGGAAATTCCGTTGCTGTTTGAGGTGTCCTTGCTGTGCCACGTCCATTGGGGACCTGCGCCTTGGGTATTGAGCGTAGTTTTGGTTTCTCCCGAGCGTAACGCAGAACTGAAAACCCCCAAGGGCAGCATGGGCAATCCCTGGTGTGGTCTGTCTGCCAGAAGACAGACAGAACGAGAGGACAGACTGGACACTCCATCCAAAAAGTGAATATTTGGAGAAGGGAATGCAGCAGAGCCCAACACTATCGTGAGCAGAATAGGGTTAGTGACCAGATGGGAACTGTCCTGGAGTAGTTGAACTCGATCCTCTCTAGTCTGTCAGAGCAGAATTCTTATGAAAACTCTTATGAATTAGTGGTGCCTGGAGCTTCTGCTTTACTGTAGGTTGCATAAACAAAGGGGGCACTTGTGCTAAGTGTTGGACTGTGTCTATTTTGACAGTGCCATTAACCAAACCTGAAGCATTTTGCGTGTTGGCCACTCAAAATGTCCTTTTTTAGGAGGCTGTTCTCAGTGCTAGTTGTGATGTGAGTGGCGGTTTTTGGAAAATGTGAATATTTTATTCTTTGGCTTATATGTATCTTGTTCCGATAGCCTTTATATTTTGCCCAGCTGCTTTCTGTTCTCCCAGAGCCAGTGAAAATGGATGCTTTGATCTACCAGTTCCTCAGCCTGTATCCCTAAATTGCAGGTGTGTTTGACAGAGCGGCATATTGGCAGAGCTGCAATAACAGGCTGCCCAGTTGGTGAATAAATTCCAGGTGGAAGTAAAGTGAAACAAAGATTCAGAGTTGCCTGGCACATTTCCTACACCTTGTGAGCTTTCTTTAAGTGTTCTTTTCTGGACTTTAAACCTCAGAAATTTGGAAGAATTTTCAGAAAATTTACCTTTTTTTTATGTTACACTGGAGGAAATGTGGAGATGTCAGAAGTGACCCGGCTGGTAAATTGTCAGGCTGACAGGGAAGTGGCAGGAGCTGTAGCTGATGGTTTATTTGGAGCAAGACTGGGCAAAGACGCTTGACTGTTGCAACAACAGCCTACCTTGGGTAGATACGTAAGCCTCAATTTCCTAGGAACAACCGATTTTGTTACCTACAGCGTGAACTTAGAGGTTGTGACGTGGAAGAGGAAGTGCTAAAGAAGCCTGCGAAGTCACAGGATCCCAGGGTGGCTGAGGCTGGGAGGCACCTCCAGGGATCCCCCAGCCCAGCCCCTGCTCCAGCAGGGACACCCAGAGCATGGGGCACCCGCTCCCAGCCCGGCGCGTTGGCACATCCCCAGAGCAGGAGCCTCCGCAGCCTCCCTGGGCAGCCCGGGCCAGGGCTCGGGCACCCTCCCACCAAACAAGTTCTTCCTCACGGGCACACGGAGCTGCCTGCGCTGCAGCTGGCACCCACTGCCCCTTGTCCTGGCACCGGCCACCACCCAGAAGAGCCTGGCCCCTTCCTCCCTGCATTCCCCCTGCAGGTTCTTGTACACGTTGATCAGATCCCCTCTCAGCCTTCTCTTCTCCAGGCTGGACAGGCCCAGCTCACCCAGTCCCTCCTCATATGAGAGATGCTCCAGTCCTTTCATCATCTTTTTTGCTTTTCTTTGGCCCCTCTCTAGATGCTCCAGGTCCCTCCTGTCCTGGGGAGCCCAGAGCTGCCCCCAGTGCTCCAGGTTTGGCCTCCCCAGAGCGGAGCAGAGGGTCTGAGCAGAGTAGAACTCGTGTGCCTGGAGCTGGCAACCGAGCTCTGTTGGTCAAACACGTTTTAATAACTAAGGTAAGTACAGGTGACTACATAATGATAACTTAGAGAGCCGTGTTCTTGGCCACTGCAGTGCCACGACATACAGCCGCAGAGGCAGGAGTTTGTGGAGGCCTGGAGCAGAGCCCCGCTTTCTGAGAGCTGGCCGCTCACAAATCCTGCTCGGAGGGGCAGAGCTGTGCTGAGAGAGGAATAAAAGCCCGAGATCAGCATGGTGACCTGAGGAGCAGTTCCATTTTCTGGAAAAACAAGCGAGCTCCCGTCCCGCTGAAGTAGTTGCTTTCTGACGGAGGGCTGCCTGCCCTTGCTCTGCTCATCTGCAGTGCGAGGGCTGTTTGAAGAGGCTGTTAGCAGATCAATAGGCACGGCCTCCCGGAATAACTCCTTTGGGGACTGCAGGCATCGCTGCTCTGCTGCTCTCTTGGGATTTCTTGGGTCTCTTTTCAGAGGTACTTGGATTGGTGGGGAGGATGACGAACCAGCAACAATGAGCTTGGGAACAAGAGCACCTCAGAGTCTCCTGTGGGTCTGAGTCTTATGCGGCCTGTTAAGACTCCCTCGTTGTC